GCAATTTGGCACTATTCCTTGGACCTCTCATCGGCGGCGCGCTTGCTAACCCGGTGAGCCAATATCCAGCGCTGTGTGAGGGTATGGAGTTGTTTGAAACCTTTCCATTTGCATTGCCGGGGATAGCCTTGGGAGCCATGAGTGCCACGAGTGCAGTCATCATCGCATTCTGCGTCGATGAGACGAGACTGGAAAGGGAGTCTATTTCGTATGCTGACGATCCTGCCACTCCATCAGGTCTTGACTGGGCTTTCATATGGGATCTGGTCAAGGCCCCAGGCGTTAGCGTCATGCTCTGCACCTTCGTCCACGTTATGTTGATTGGGTCTGCCTTCATGGCTGTCGGGAGTCTTACTCTATATACAGGGGTACGCTATGGTGGAATGGGGTTCTCGGCCCACCAGATTGCCATGTACATGGCGGTGCAAGGTGCCGCCGAGGCTGTGTGGCTCTTGCTTCTATTCCCTCCTCTACACCGTCGATTTGGTACCCGAGGTATCATCTTCGCTGGTGTCGTTGCATTTCCCCTCTTCTTTGCCGGCTACATCATAATGAACGCATTTCTTCGCAATGGAAGTCCAGTGGCCTTTGTGTCTTATCGAGCTGTGTTGGGCGCAATGGCACTCCTAGGACCTGGTGTCTTCATGGTCATTACGGCAGTGCAGCTGGGACTTCAAGAAGTAGCGCCTAGCCCGCGCACATTGGGGACTCTCAATGCAATTGCGGAATCAGCTTCTAGTCTTGTTCGAGCTGTGGTCCCAGCCATTAGTACAATAATCTTTGCAGTTGGTGTCCGTGATCAGATCATGGACGGCTATCTTGTCTGGGTCATCCTGATTCTGCTCGGTGGTTCTCTGACTATTAGTGTTACACGGCTTCCAAGAAGCAGAAAACTATAGATCCCAGATCTCGCGAGCCGTCTAGAGCCTTGCAGTTTCATATTCGCTCAACTGTATTCCCTATTGCCTGTAATGAAACACTTTGACATATGTTGAGATGTTGCGCTGCTAAGTCCAAGGTACATGCATCGTTGAGTCAGTGCTGGGCTAGATTTAAAAAGCTTTACACCAATGGGTACTCCAACAAGGCATTAAAGACCCTAAGGGTGTTTTGTTTCTTTTCTTTTTAGAAAAAAAAGTTTCATCTTAGCCTAGCTCTTATCTTGCATTATCAAATGATATAGATATTATATGTTCTTGATAATTTAGTGTATTCAATACGTCCTCAATTGCGGCAATGCCATAAGCTAAATAAGCTTCCTGAGTAGAATATTTCGCATGAGTAAATTAACAAATACACACATAAGTCAAACTGAGCACACAGACTCACAATAGATATCCCGTTGTAACCAGCTATAAAATCGTACCAAACCCAGACCTTCAAGTAGATAGCCGATATAAAAAACTAGAGGCGACAAGCCTTAGCCAACACCCGTCCATGAAAGGAGCCAAGTAGATGTACTTTGATGCTTAGAGTTACTTGACTGTCCATCGGTGTTCGAGAAGCTCCGCCGCCTCTTCTATACTTAAACCCGCCGTTTCTGGGTACATGAGGTAAATAAGGTAGTATCCAACGACGCATAATCCTGCGTACATCACCATTGTCCAGGTTGGGGTCAAGGCATCAGTCAACGGCAGAAATGTGAGACCAATGATGAAGTTGCTACTCCACGCAGCTGCCATAGCTACACCACTACCCAAAGACCGAACTGCTAGCGGATACAGTTCACTCTGCATCGACGGGACGTTTCCTAGGCCTAAGGCGAATGAAGCCACAAACAGAATAATACTTGTCAGCACGATGATCGCACCGCCACCGTGATCTGGCTGTTGGGGTAACCTGGGTGATACCCCGGTCGACAAAGAATGAAATCCAGTCGCTGCCAAGAGCAATCCGAGTATCATAAACGGGAGGGACCGAAGAAGCATCCGTCGTCTACCAGCTCGATCAATAAGGACGAGCGAGATGGCAGTAAAGGTGAAGTTTGTTGAGGCAATAGCTACCGACGCCAATGTTGGATTCTTGAAGCCCACTATCTCGAAAATCGTAGCTGAGAAGTACATGAGTGAAGTCTGCAAACAAAGGTCAGTCACAGGAGCCGGGTAAGGTATCCTCAAATGGGTACTCACAAAGCCGCAGAATTGTTGAAGCACCATGAGTAAGATTGCGATGGTCAGTCCTCGACGATAGCGATGTTGGCTGAGAAGTTCTTTCCATGGATCTTGAAACTGGAACCGGCCGTGTCCTGCCCGTCGTCTTGATTCACGCGCTGTTCGCAATTCTCCAACATCGGCCTGGATCTTGTCAATCAACGTATCCGTAAGACCTTCAGAGTCAGCTTCGTTGCCGTAGATCCTGTGTAGAACACGCTTGGCCTCAGTAAGACGGCCTACCATGACTAGCCAGCGAGGCGTGTCAGGCATGAAGCTGATCAAAAGACCCTGGGTGCTTGCTGGGACTACTCCAAGAGCGAATGTCCACCGCCAACCGGTAGCTTTCAAGCCCCAGGCTGCAAACATGCTCGCGGTCATGAAACCCACAATCTGTCCTAGCGTGGTCAAGAGAATTGTTGCCGTGATCAGCATCCCTCGGCGTGACGCTGGAGCGATCTCTACTATATACAGAGGGACTACCACGCTTGAAAATGCCACTGCCATACCGATTATGCATCTTCCTATGATAGCAAAAGTGATGGTCTTGCAGAACGCTAGAAATGCCGAGGCCGTGATAAAGAGGATGTCGGCATAAAGCATTAATCGCTTACGGCCTAACTTATCGGCGAGTAGTGATACAAAGGGGGCCGTGAAAAGAGCACAAAATGCTGTGGCTGAGGTTATCATCGCTTTGTCTATGGACGTGAGATCACGGCCAGACAGCGAAGACCCAATAGAGACAAGGGCTGCGGAGGTGACACCAGTCTCATCTGGCATTTAGGTCAGTATAACATCACCTGGCTACCATAATAGAACGTACAGCCCGAGAGCATGCTGCTGAGGCCGGAGACGAAAGTGATTGTGAGGACAAATGGCGTGAGCTTTGTCCTGGTCTCTTTTTTTCCTTCTGTCGGCAAAGGCTGGTGCGTAGACAGCAATGGATCATGCTCAGAGTCCATGTTCGTTGTTGTTGCAGGGTTCACTTTTTTTCCTTTGTGATGTGACTTGAAATAAATGTGTCAAGGGAAAAATGAACGCAGAGATGTGTGAGTATCTGCAGGGTCCATCGTTATATACCCAATGGCTAAGGCTTGGATGTAAGACACGCGCTGCTTTGGGAGACTTGCATGAGGACTGCTGACATCCCCTAGATAACCCCACTGAGACAGAAAACACCCCAGCTGATACCACCCACATACAGACTGTATTAGTTAGGCATCCTTGTCTTTTCAGTGGAGAGGGGTAGGATTAAGAAAAGGAACAATGCCTAAATATAGCGCATTCTCCCCGAACGGGGCGGGGTTAAAACAAAGCTAGAGCCTTTACTCCGTACTTCAATATTATACAATAAAGATCAATGCTGAAATGGCTACCAAACTACCAGATCCCGAGCATCAGCCTGCGTTTGTTACCCATCGGCCCCGCGAAATCCGTGACAAGATCTATCTCGAGCTATGACAATCCTGCGATATTCGCCAACCCGTGGTCTGGCATCGCAAAGCTGGCAAAGCAAAATCTCTCTTCTGTCGGTGGCGGTGCACCACGCCATTTTCTATACAAGATGAGCTTTAAGAAAGGGTCGATGCCACAAGGATCCAGCTCGGTTTCCCACTAGGGGCAGCTTCAACGATAAAAACTATGCCTTGCAGCATATTTCTGCCTGGGAGAACTTCTTCGCGTGTGGCCAGCGCATCGTCGAGGCCTTTGGCGAGGATGCTTGTTCTTTTCTAGGGCCATGCTAGAGTAGCCATCAATCGAGCTTGGAGAGATTATCGACATGCAGCGTATATATGAGCATGCTACTGTCATGCAAGGTCGTGTAAGAGCCTGATGGGCAGCTCTGCGCATATAGTTTGCTAATCATGAGCATACAGGTCCTCGGAATGCCTCGAGTCAATTTATAAATCAATTACTTTCATCTTTACTCACATATTTGCCCTTCACGCATTTATTGGCTTCTGTAAGGTACCGGAATTGTGTAAAGACGAGGCAGACGAAGCCATTTCGCCACCAGCGTTTCGCATCTACGGGAGACATCTTGAGATATGCTTAGAGCCAGTCTTTCCCATGTTACGACCATGCTCATCGCCTACTCTATCACCATTGCCAGAAGAGTGCCACACGACTTTCGACTTCCATGAGCTTCGCCCTTATCTTCTAGGAAATCTCACGACCTTCAATATCTGGGTGTCCGCTCACTCCACAGAATAATTGCTGAACAGCAACGCAGGCAATATGGATCAAAGCATCTACAATATCACTCAATTAGAAATTGAGTTTCTCAAAAAAGCCTTGTCATTGCTCAGTCGCGTGAGAAATGCCACTCTGAGCATGCCGCCTGCCCGGGTCTCTGAGCCAGAAAACGGCTTTGTCACTGATGATGCGCACCGACGAATATTGCGAAGAGGCGCGGGTGACATATTCCCTCCATTTTTACTACTAGTAATAGAGGTTGAACGGTTGAATAACAATGTACGATCGAGCACAAACGGGTACGTCAGGCGATTACAAACAGCACGTCAACACTGAAATACTCGGCGGGATAGTTAAACTGGCGTATAATCCACAATCAGAACATAGTGTCATTACTCACTAGTCAACGCTTCCAATTTACATGAAGCGGTACTACCATAACATTGGGGCGTAGCTCGCCTGGTGGAATTAATTCGTGCTACGGGTAAGAGAATGAAAGATGTCGCATTTCATAGTAACTGGGAAAGCGACGCTGCCTAAGGAACGTGCTGGCTATGCGTCACACCTAAGACATTCTTTGCCTAGCAGTAGATACTCCCATATATCGCCACCATGGTGCTAATCCAAAATATGAAAAGTCCAAATGTTCTCACACTAATATACTATTCTGAGAATCCAACTTCCACTTTCCCAAATATCATAATCCTCCTTTTTCTTAGGGTCTCCTGTTAGCTTAAGTGCCTTAGCCCGCCAGTGGTATCTTCCCTCTGGCAAATGAAAGTAATTTGCATCAGTTCCATCATAATACCATGTCCAACCAGCCAGATAGGGATCTTCAGATGACCCACGCGTCATCACAAACATCTCCTTGCCGGAATCAGTGTCGATAATGCTAAGCGCGAAGTCTCTACTCTGGACAACAAGATCAACCTTTACACCAGGGTAAAAGTTATTCTGAAATGTAACTGGCGAATTCATAGTCGTGTTTAAAATGCAGTTAAAGACGTGTTCCTCAGTCAGTGGTATTGTCGCGGAATTTGAGGTGTTATATCCTGCTAGGATGGCAGTGTCTCGGTTGATAGCCGGTAACGTAAGTAAGGGAGCTCCTAGTCCGGTGTATGGAAGCGTGAGTTTGTTAGCCGCCCCTTCAGCCTCGATGGCAACACAACCACTGAAATGCGAGACACGAGTGGCAGCATCAGGTAGATCTGGCTCTTTGATGATAGACACTGAAACCGTGGCTGAGGACCCGGGCTTGATTTCAAGAGATGTGGGGTGAATATGAATATCGGCATAGACTGGATAAGCCTCTGCTTTTGTTAGGTTGTAGCCGCTCTCTCCCAGGACGTAGCCTGATCCCGCCCCGATATGGCTTAGTCGGTACTTGGCAGTCTTCTTACCGCTGTTTTCGATGCTGAAGGTAAGGTTGGTAGCGCGATAGGCAGTGTCGTTGAAACTCAAGGAAGCGGTGCTTAGCAAGGTGGTGGTATGCACAGCGCTCCAAGCGTCGACAAGGCCACCACCCTGTTGGAATGTTGGTGCCAGGAAGTCTAGTGTGTGCCCCTTTGCGTCATTCCACTTCACTGGGCGTGCTGTTGTCACAATCACATTGCGGATATCGTCAGCTGAATATTCAGGGTGTTTCTGCTTGACGAGAGCAGCGACACCGGCAGCAAAAGGGGTAGACATGCTGGTACCTGTGATTGTGGGATCAGTCCTGACTCTTGTCTTGATGATAGACGGGATACTTACCGCCAAGCACACCCAAACCGCCAAACCTCTGCGGGAGTGTGCTTAGAATGTTACCTCCTGGGGCCAGGAACAAAGGCATTGACAAAGCCCGGAGGGTAGGGCCCCAGCCTGTAAACTTTGAGCTGAGCGAGCCTGACAGGTTGTTGACTTCGTATGATAGATGAGAAACTGCATTAGTTGAGATTTTTAGGGAGCCGTGTTCTTTTCTTGCAGCCAGTAACATGGAGGCTGTGTTGTAATCAACGGTAGCGACGCCTTTGGCGTTTTGGAAATCGGAAACGGCGAAGAGGGGACCATCGGAGATAGTAGTGTTACTTTTGCCTGGATAGTACAAAGCATAGGAAATATTGAATGCTTCGGTAAGGATGTGTGATCCACCCCATGCATCAAGCCAGCACTGCTTGTACTTAGAAAGGACAATGACATTCGATAAATCATCGGGAAGAGACGACCTATCAGGCATCGGGAGGCAGTCATCTGAGGCAGAGACGTCGGGCGCCCAGACCGTCAATTTCGTGTTCTTTGGAAAGTTGAAAGGTGTGCTAGGAACGATCGCAAAAGAGCCTGTTGCACTGTTATGGGCAGTAGACCACGTGGCCTCCCATGAGTAATATGGAGTCACGGAATTGTCGACGGATCCAACAGCAGTGACATAGTCACCATCGGCTGGGCTGTTGCCAGTGAAGATCCCCGGTCCGCGATTGCCGGACGGGAAAAAGACAAGTGTGCCATTCGCCGCGACTCGATCTGCCACGGTGGTCCAGGGATCTATTATCCAGTTAGCTTGCGCGGTCATCGATCCTGAATGCGGCACGTCTTACCCTCGAGCCAGGCAATGGGGCTTCCATATGAGCAAGTGATTATATCGACGCCCCTATCTGCAGCATCAATCAATGAAGCCAGGAGCGCATCTTGTGTGGCGGATGAGGAGTCGCAGGCCTGGATACGGAATAGCTCATACGATGCATCAGGTGCGACGCCGCTGATATTGTGCTCGACCTTGTTACCTTTGGCGCCTATGATACCCAAGACATGCGTACCGTGGTACCAGCACTCGTCTTGTACGTCGTCACCACCGTTTGTCACATCATGGGTGTAATCGATTCTGGTTAGGCTCAAGCCTGGCACAGTGAGATCGAACCCCCCGTCGAGAACAGCCACTCGTATACCTGCACCAGTGATGTTCTCGGCGCGCAGTCTTGCAACTCCAGTATCGATATGGCTAGATATAGTATCTAAGTCTGCCTGTGATCTGTGATTAATGTTATTGTTGAGAGGTCGGCCTTTTATTTGGTTGTCCCGTTCGTAGCGTCGCCGGCGCAATTCGGCCTCTGAGGCGCCTTTCCTCTTGAGGCTATCAGAAGGTAGTTTATCTGTGGTGATTGACCATACCTTCCCTACGCCTTCAATTGATTTCAAGGCAGAAAGAATTGACTGAGTAGAGATGATATCTTTATTGCAATCGACATTCAGGGATACACCTCGGAAACTCCAGTGGTTGAAAACGTATCGTCGTGATACGGTGCAGTCCAGGCCAACACTGGGAAGAGATACCGCCGCGGCACGCATTAAGCTCTCGGCATCCTTCCTCTGCATTAGCAATACGGCTCCATATTCTGCGTCCTTCATTATCACCTAGCACCTACCAACTGAGAAGCGCCATCAAACTCAATAATGACAGCGGTAGTATAGGAAGCTGTTACCAATAATGGGATACATGCCGCAATGGCAACTTGTTTCAGAGACAATAACATTATGCGTTGAATGTGACTCTCTGCCGATCGAATGCGAGAGATATGGTCCACGGTGCAACTCTGTGCTGGTCTTTAGGCAGCCCCAGCCGATGTATTTGCAACAAGACGTGGATAAGTAGTCACAAGGCGGTGTGATGTGAACCTGATTATTATTAGAGAAACCTAGAAATTTGATATCAAGCCTAAAAGAATAAAACTAATCCTCATATGGGATTTTTATGGATCAGGGCAGATAAGGGGAGCATGTAAGATGCATGCAAAACCTGCTATAGAGCCCAGCCTAGTCAGGGCAGGCTTCACGAACTCTGATTGTGTATAGTATTTACTGTAATGTTTAAGCTTTTCGTTAAATGGATAAAGTAAACCCACCAATTGGAGGTAGTTAAAAGTAGGGTACCGAAAACGCCGAGATATAAAGTTTGATTAGGTGTTGTAATAAGTAGGTTAAATCCCCAAAATGGACAGTATCGGAAGATAGTATAATAGTTTTAGCCGCTTACCAAGCAGGTTGAAATAAGGAGATGCAGGCAAAAGGGGGATAAATGTCATCCGGCCAGCAATGAGCAATGCCCTCTGTCAAATAGAGTTTCATTTTAGCTGTTACTAAGTCGTGGTCTTAATCGTTCGCAAGGCACGCCTTCAAAGACCTTGAAGCTAAGGCGTACAATGGACGAACCTGCTCTACATATTGGTGCTTACCAACTAGAAGTCAGAAATAAACTTGCAATCGTATTTCACAGGAAGTTATCTAGCATCTGGCTAAAATCCAGTTTTGCAAGGTCTATACTTGGGTTCAAAGTGCCTTGCACCAATGGATCGCTTGTCCCAGAACTAAGCGAAGTGCCCCATAGACCATGGTCATTCTCAGCAGCAGTAAGAAAATCATCAAGGCTGAGAGTCATTTCCATTCCGTCGCGGGTGCCAAAACCACCAGCTCTATCAGGCATGATGCCGTTATTGAGCCAGGCCTCACTGCCCTGAGGTGAGTCCCTTGATGTGTTCGGAGTAGCGAGTATGAGAGGACTAGGCATACGGCCTGTGTGAAAAGGAGTTGGCTGGGGCGTAGCTTGAGCGATACGTCCCTCTTGATTTGGGGCGGAAATGCCGAGCCGAACGCCTGCTTGTTGTAAACCGCGTATCATCTTCCACAGACGCCTTGAGACATATGACCTCTTGCTGAAGCCCCGGACCAGATCGAGAGCTGTATTGAACTCTTGTCGTACGATATCTCGATACACAGCAGGTTCGAGAGCAACGGCCAAGAAGATTACACCAAGAGCAGATATCAGAAAGTGATTAAAGCAAACTTGCTGTGTTTGGTAGATATCGGTAGTTTGGTTAAGATGATGAAGCTTCTGAATCATGTCCTTTGCGATGCTGACTAGCATTTTGACTTGCGAGGTATCCCTTGCGGGTCGAGGAACAGCATGCAGCGCGGATTGGTGTAGAAGGATCTTCATCTGACAAGCTCTCAAATACAGAAGGATCTGCAGGCGATGATGACCTCGACCAAGAGCAGACGCTCCATCTTCAGGGAGTTTAAGGGTCGCGGGTATCTCCTTATACCAACGTTCCACGCTGTAATGGAGGAACTCAATCTCATCTCTGGGGACGTTGGATGCTGTGCTGCCCGCGTTGTAGAGTGTCGCCCAAACTTTGGCACCAATCCGATTATACGCAACCATGGCATGAAGATAGGGGACCTCATCATCCTGAGACACTTAGTAAAAGGAGCTAGCATTTTCCAGTGATATTTGATCTCGGTTGGGACTTACTGGCCACGGGACGTTTGAATCGATGTCATTGCTTTGGATTATAAACGGAAGACCAGCGCCAAAGCTCCATCGCCTGTCTAGTGTATGCACACTCCAGAAGATTCTAATAGCCAGTTTTCTTTCGAATGGCTCTTTGAACATGGTAGTATACGTGGCTGCTTGATGTAGCCCAAGTTCAAGACAGGAGCGTGCAGGAATTCCGATCAGCCTCCATGCTTGGAGATCGTCACCGGAGAGAAAGGAATGGTTGGCCTAGACGACAGTCAGTATTGTGAGAAAAGAACGGTAGGTTGACCTCCCATTAATGTAAAAAGTTGTATTGACTCAAGCGACGGGGACTCCCAAATCTTACTTGAGATCCTTTCTTGTGCCTTGGCAAATAAGGCATTGCCAAGTCCACTTGAACCACTTGTTTCAATAGTCAGTGCCGATGAAAGAGCAAGTCGTAAGATGTCAATTTCATCAGCGGTAACAAGTGGTGGTCCAGGAAGTGAAGCAAACGCGAACCCAGATCGAGAACCAGCTTCCATGGCGTCATACAGCTTATGTGCGCTATCGACCAGACTTGATAGTGTCAGGAAAGGATACGAGTTTCCGATTTCTTCTTCGTAAACGTGACATAACCGCAGCGCTTCCTGCTTGTCGATGAACCACAGCGGATCTATGGTTGACTTGGTGAAATTCCATGAGTCGGGCGCTATTAGGGGTCCATCAAGTAGTGGTTCGGTTATATTGGCAGGGTCAGAAGACTCAAGGTCCCCAGCTCTGGAGCCTTGGGCGCGAAGATGCTGTCTGGCGAGCTCCAGGTTGAAGGTGTAGTTGACAGCGGGCTGGCGTGACTGACTAGCCGACGAGGGCGTGATTGTCGGGGGCACTGTATGTGCATGTATCGTAAGATCAGATGTATCATCCTGAGCGTTTGTCGACAGAGAAAGGGGTCTCCCTAAGGAGGCCCCTGACGCGGACTCTGGCCCTTGTCCGGGGCTTTCGGCTGTTACAACGCTGGTATGGCGGTCTTTTCGCAGCTCATGAAGGTTGTCTTGGAGCTGAGTTACCTGCTGACTTAGCGATTTAATAAGCTTGGTGGATCTGGTTCGTCAGCTTCCGAAATATGATACGGACAGCTACAGGTGAGGATGAAAACATACGAATCTGACTGGCTTGTCGAGGTGGAGGGCGCATAAACGCCTGTACTTATATCAGATATTGTGTAGTGTTCATCGTTGCAAGGTACTTACAGTTGAGGGAATGCTGGACACATCGCGCGCATGGGTTCTGTCCATTGCATTTGCTTTTCCGTCTCTTACATTCATTGCTTCAATCACAGGTCAATCAAGACGACCACTGATGATAATCGAGCCACCGGAATAATCTTACCAAGCCTTGGAGATGTACTTGCCCCGTTTGGACCTGGGCTTTTGTGGACGTTGAGGCTGTGATCCCCCTGACGTGTTGTTCTTGGCCTGTGAAGAGGTCTGGACCTGGGTTGCATCGACTTGATTATCTCCATCATCATTGTCGTTGCTGACTGTCCCATCACCTGTGATCTCCCCTGAAGTCTCACCGTTATTGCCTCTTACTACTGACCCCGTTTGCTGGTTGGGTGGGGTCTGAACGGCCGACATGGTGAAATTTGGCAATGTCTTTGTGAAATGGAATGCTAAAAACGGCGGAAGCGGAAATGGAAGACAATTCCGGTGGCTTTTAGTCTCTTAAGAGAATGATCGGAAATGGATGACTAAGAGCGGGGCACACTAACTAGTTACGGTCCCATGTCTGCTGAGATAGGGCGATAGGCGAGATAGTAGCATCCTTCGTCACCAGGCTAGTTCTGTACACTACAACCCCTGTATTTTTGTTAGCCTGTGACTTAGTTACAGGGGCCTAAACTCTATATCTTATAGAATTTCCTTATTTTATAAAAATACAAATAAAAAACTAATTAGATTTTATTTTTAAATATTATAGCTTTTATTTTATATATTTTAAAGATTTTTAATAGCTATTTTTAAGACTTTTATAGATACCCCTGCTTTCTAAGGTGGGGCTGTATCGAGCTAACAATAATTCAGGGGTTGTACTGTATGTATTTTGATGTCTACTGTGGCATCTCGGCATCTCCATAACGATTCAACCCTTCTCCTGGCATTTCTCCAGTCTCCTTGTCATTATGTTACTCTGATCAAATGGGATAACTGTAATTAGCGGCTTTACTTCGCCCTGAGCTGCAAATTGAAACAGGTCTTGCATTCAACAGCACTTTCGATAAGCCTAAGGCCTGGAAGATCATTAGTTCTCACGTAGTTGGGTTGGTGGAAACTAATGACTTATCTCGGTGGGCAACGTTTAGCGGCGAGGGACGGGGATATTCGCCGATTGATGCCAATATGAACTATAGTCCCAGCATTCCGCATACAGTAAGCTGCTTGCTGGTAGCTAACGATTTCTTATGACGTTAGATATATTAAGGTCTTTTTTTTTAGCTTTCTATAATACCCCCTTTTAGACCCCCTCTTACTTCTGTAATTGCATTTACTACATAATTAATATTCTTAACGTTTACTACTGCAGTTAGTACATATACCTTTAATAGAGGAGCCAGGTTACTTACATCCCGCCATCGATATTCTGCCCGATGATGAGAGGTAAATATGGTACTCATTCCTCAAACGAAACACCTGCTGGGGGTTGAGACCTGTATATGAAAACATGCCACTCTGCGAAACGATTAGCTCATCGAATGGCAACCAAGACAAAGTTCGTGCTTCATTACCTGTTTCATGATATGGTCAAAGTCGCCGCTTTCTGCGAAGGCGCTCAAGCCACCATGAAGTGCTGAGCGGACCTGTCCCAGTCTTTTGCTCATGGAAAAAACATCACTGAGCCATTGAGACTTAAGCTCTGGGTCGCCAAGGATGGTTTTCACAATGTTGCAGCCTGTTCGAGGTGGAGTTGAGTATTCGGTTCGGATAATGAAACGAAGCTGCTGAAGGATGTTGGGCTGGATGGCGATATCCTTGCTGTTTGTGATGAAATGGAGAGCTCCTGTTCTCTGTCCGTAGAGTCCAAAGTTCTTAGAGAAGGACTGTGCCACACAGAAGGTCAGAGGGCGTTCTAGACTGGCAAAGTATCGAAGTGGCCAAGCATCTTTTTCTGGGTCTCCTGTGGCAAAGCCTTGGTATGCATTATCAAAGAATGGGAAGATGCCTTTGCGTTGACAAATCTCAGCTACAACCTTCCACTGTTCTTGACTCAGATCGAGGCCAGTTGGGTTATGAGCGCAGACTTGAAGAATGATAACATCTCCAATTTGACCCTGAGACTCGAGAGTTTCGATCATTCCTCGGAAGTTGAGGAGTCGTGTGGTTTGATCGTAGTATGGATATTTCTTGCATTCCACACCCATTCTTTCAAACATCAGAATATGAGGACCCCAAGTAGGATCAGAGACCCATACGCATCTCGGTTTGAGGAAACGGGACAGAAAAGCAGCACCGATGTGGATGGCTCCAGATCCAGAGATAGATTGGACTGAGACTATCCGCTGCAACAGCTTAGACCGGTCATCTTGGCCGAATAGAAGCTTTTGGGCCAGTCTGAGATAAGTGGTATCTCCCTCGATAGGGAGATACTCATGCTTCCCCAAGTCGTTTAGAGATAGGAGACGACGTTCTGCTTCCAGTACCGAACGTAATGGGCATGGGTTCCCGTCTTCGGAACGGTAGGCCCCGATTAGCAGATCGACCTTTTGCGGGTTTGGGTCGAGGCGATAGTCTGCAGCCAGAGAGAATATCTCATCGGCGACAATGCTTGGTACTGCGTTCAACCATGGTGACGTGACTTCCTTGGAAGTCGTATCCTCGATAGTAGGCATTTTAGCAAGCAGCCGGCTGCAAAGATGCTGGTGTATAATAGTTGCAAGTCTTTGATCTATGCTTTGGAAATGATTGTGACAAGGTGTTAAAGTGTCTCTATGGCGTAGTGATCACCTTTCCTTTTCAGTTTGAGTGAGTCGGTACTAAAACCGCGAATGGCAGAACTATGGAAAAGCGGAATGGCGGAATTTGTACTAAAATGTAAACTAAACAGCGGAAACAGACACATTCGCCTTCTGTGGAGTCTCTCTGGTGGAGCCTCACGATAGAAGCGACGTTTAATTCCGACTTGAATACTGTATGCCATAAATTGGGCAAGGAGGACCAAAACGTTCAAGGTTACCAATATTCGTTGAAAGTCTGTGGTGCAAAGCAGCCTACTTCAATCTTCCAGTTCCGCTTCCAATTTCCAGCTACTGGGGTTAATGTTAGTCTCCCCTGTAATATCATGATCATTTCACTGACGACGGTAGCCACCTCAACTACGATCTGACCGTTCAGGGCAGCTGATACAGGATTTTGTCTGGCAGAGGATTGGCAAGTTTCTATAATCAGATGACATTATCATCACCGACTGTGGAACAGGTCAATTTGGAATGTTTGATGCCACGTTTCCCCACGGTCCAGGGCTATTACATCAACATTCTGGTCGGCCATTGGGTTCTCGGTCGGGGCGTGCCTTGGAGCTTGTGTTGTCGCCCGTGAGATGAAGCACCCTGGTCGCGTAATTGTCATTGTCGGTGATGGTCCTTTACAGATATCCGTCCAGGACATCGGAACATGTATTCGCTTTGGTTGGTTTCAAGCCCATCATCTTTCTAGTAAACAACAACGGCTACTCAATTGAAAGAGCCATCCGTGGCGCTGAGCTAAGCTAAGCTACAATGACATCAACTCCAACTGGGATCACCAGCAGCTGCTTAGCTTCTTCGGGGCCAGACCTGACACTGGTATTGGGAGCTTTAGCACTCATTGTCATACAATAGAGGAGCTTGAGAGTACTTTTGGCAAAGAGGCACTCAACGAGGCTGAACATATCAGCGTAAGTGGATCTGGTAACTCTTTCGTAATCCTGGCACTGACGTATTCCGATGCGGAAGCCTGTTCCGATATCTACAGAGCTCCACCCAGAACTGCATTCCGCCTGTCCACCAATTCCGCATTGGGGTTATATCAATAACACAAAATAAATAGTTGTCGTGGGATTGAGCCATTTATGAAAGTCGTTATCGCGGTAGGAACATTCGACTTATTTCGCCATGTCTGGAAAAAAGGTCCTACTTACAGGCGGCAGTGGGTTTGTTGGATCTCATTGTCTTGACCTTCTCCTCCAGGAAGGGTGAGTTCAATGCCCATCTCAGTACTGAGTTTACTGACATAACTAAGCTATGAGGTCGTTACAACTGTGCGATCGGAGAAGAAAGGGCAGGATATTCTCGCTGCCTTTCCTGCAGCCAAGTCGCAGCTCTCATATGCCATTGTCGAGGACATTGCCCGTGAGAATGCTTTTGACGAGGCTGTAAAGACCGCCGAATTTGATTCAGTGCTGCACGTAGCCAGCCCATTTCACTACAGGCCAGTGGATATCCAGAAGGATCTTATTCACCCTGCAGTGAACGGCACTTTGAATATCCTCAAGGCAGTCAGCGATTACGCCCCAACAGTCCAGCGCGTTGTCATCACATCATCGTTCTCGGCAGTAGTCAACATTAAACACCCCGAGAAGATGTATCGAGAGCATCACTTCAACCCGATAACTTTGGAGGAAGCATATGAGGATGGCGTACAAGCCTATAGAGCTAGCAAGACATTTGCCGAGCGCGCCGCCTGGGATTTTATGCAAGCCAAGAAGCCTAGATTCTCTCTCGCCACTATGAACCCACCTCTGATTCTCGGACCACCAGCCCCGTGGCTTGCATCCATGGACTCGATCAATACTTCGAATGAACGTTTGAGAGATCTGTGCCAGGGAAAATGGAAAGATGAATTGCCTCCAACAGCCTCATGGTACTGGGTTGACGTTAGAGATGTTGCTCTCGCTCACGTTCGAGCATTGGAGAATTTGGATGCTGGAGGAAGAAGGTTTTTCTTGATGCAAGGTAGAATGAGTAATGCTCAGATTGCACAGGTGGCGGCGGATCATTATCCTCATCTCAAGGATAAAATCCCAAAGACTCTGGTGGATGATACACCTGCCGATCTTTGGGAGGTTGACACAGCACCATCGAAGGACGTTCTAGGCCTCGAGTATCTGGATCTGGAAACCTGCATAGTGGATTCGCTGAAGCTTCTGATGAATCAATAGTTACTCAGTGCGGAGAGGTACAATGCGATTTAAATGTTTCCAATTCAAATATTCCATTGGTCCCATCCGTTCTAAGTGTGGTGAAATATTATTACGACTCTATATCATCTGTAATGTCGTCCAAAATTGCTCACAATAATCCTACAACCAGTACACCACCAGCCATCAAAGCCATAACTAGAACCCCTGACATAACATGAGAACCCGGGGAAACGTCTCCAGCATCCAGCTTATCGTGTTCCATTTCCTTCTCTTTCTCCGTATCTGCATCTTGGTTCTCATTTGTAGTTAACGTTCCCGTCATCTTAGCCCTTAGACTATTATATGCATCTGATCTAACTGAGCATGACGCGCGCCTGTGCCAGCTATACCGCTTAAGCACGAGGCGGAAGACCACAAAATCGACGATCTGCTTATCAAAGTGTCATATGACCGAGTAATTCAACTTGCCTATTTGTACCTAAGAAAAACGGGAAGCTTCGCTTGTGCAAGGAATTTCTGCGATTGAAAGAACCGGCAAGGATTCCTACAGCACCCGCTGCCACCACTATTTAGTCAACGTGCTAGGAAAGGCTAGATCACACTAGTGATACACTATTATCGATAGTGCAAGCGATTCACCAGATCAGGATCCGGCCCATTGACGATTATTGGTTGGTTGATTTGAAGCTATTGACTTCTCGCCACTCGCTGAGATAGATCTAGGCGTCTGGGTAAAAATAACCCATTAGCGTTTTTCCCTTCCAGACACAATAGACTATCCTTCCCTATCCAATATTAACTCTCAAGATTGCAAGACCGCGCTTAGACCCGAAGAGGTGTATGCATACCGTTTTTGACCTACCACAACACGCCCTGTTAGTGCGTGTAATCTGGGGAAGTATAGGAATTCTACAGTCATGGCGCTTGGTGGCTGGCTGAACTTGGCGGTCACTCGCTTTAGGCTGACTTCGCGGCGCCCTTGACGCAGGGAGACCAGTATGTGTATATGCTTCTTCCCTAATCTAGCTTAAGTGTTACTGACTGTGGCTGACTGAAGTTCCTCCTAAGTAGCCTAGTAGCCAAGTTAGAATGCACGTACCTACTCTAAAGTGGAATGTGGCTGCTTTATTGAATAACTAGGCTGGTGTGGCTGCTTTATTGGTCGACTGGGCTGGCTGTACTAAGACATGGAAAGGACATATTGACATGAGAAGTAAGTCTTATGGTAGAACTGTATCCGAGATACCAATAGAAATAGGCTGAAAATAGTATAAGTATATCGCTTCTTGCTGTGACTCACTCCTTGGGTTTCTTATCGTTTTACTCTGTATTTTAAATGACGTCTGTTTATTCTTAACCTTATATTCTTTAGGCAATCTTTACTATTACTATCATTATGGCTGCAAATGCTGCTTCACTTTTGACCAATGTCTTTGGCCAGAAGACCGATATTGGCAAGATTGTCTAGAACTTTGACTTTAGTCAGGTAAGCAAAACCTATCCCAAGCTATTTTATATTTTTGTTGACCTATTATCAAGATCAATATTCGGGACTTAAAGTCAGATGATTATCTGTATACAGATCTTGCCCTGTCTTTTGGCAAAGATGGACAGGATCTCAAAGAATCTATGAGGGCAATCGATGATCGACTTAAGATTATGGTTGCTGCAATAATGATGACTCTTGCCCGCCAGAATGACAAGAGCTGGGATGCTGTTGTGAGGACTATGATACAGAATGAAATAGCTATGTCTGATGACGAAGGGGTTGCACGTTCTGATATACTTGTGAGAAATAGCTTAAATGATTTTAAGTTTGATGGCGGGCCTGATGCAAGTATTGTTAAGGAGGTAAGATTTACAATTCTTATCTTCTATTCTCTAGTTTTTATCTCTTTGTCTTTTGCTTATATCCTCTGCATTACCTTTAACAATAGGATATAACTAATAATCGAATAGGTTTAAACTTGGTTTAATCGCTTAGTGTCTGATCCTGATGTTCTTAACGGCACCAAGATTGATATTAATGTCTTGGCGAAGATTGTTGCTTAAACCGGGGTAACAGTCGATAGCTTTGAAGGCTTTTTCGCCAAGGAGGAGCACTATGAACAGACCTTGATTGATATTGGCGTACTCCGCTTCCCTGATATTGACTACCCATACTTTAAAGTAAGTCCCTACTAGCCACAGCCAAGAAGGGGAGATTACTAAGCAGTCAACAATACAGCTATATAGAATTAAATTAATTGCCTGGTCGGATTCACGCCGTATTATGTTTTATTTAGAGGATAAGAATGGAATTACTGGAGGTATGTATTAAGGTTATACAGCCTTAAGCCGTGGCTGTAAGGAAGGAGTGATGCTGACGTGAGAATAAATTCAGAATATAATTGTCGAGTTTTCCGACCCCGGGCCAGTGTTATCGATTGTTTGACTCAAGCTGCGCATGCTAGGGCTGTTGCGACTTTTGATGCCATGTTTTCTTAGAGTTATACTTATGCGGCATTGCGGTATAGTTAAGGGCCTAGTTGAATGGTGTATTGGGTGAGAATTAAGGGATGTGTTTTAAGTGTCTGAAGGTCTGTTATTTGCGCGGTAGTACTACGTAGACCAAGTTGTAGTGTAACTATAATGCAATAAAACTATATGAATGCTTCAAATCAGTTTCAGATCTATTAACTGTTACTTGCCACTCGGCATAGGGTCCGTAAAATTGTCCAAAACTGCTCACCACAATCCTACAACCAGTACAAGACCAGCAATCAAGGCAGCAGCGAGAGAACCTGGCACACGAGAACCCGCAGAATCATCCACAGCTTCTGGCTTATCATCTTTCCTCTCCTCTTCCTTCTCTCCGCCTTTGTCTTTATCCTCATTTACAGCAGAAGTCCCAGTAATTTTGGCTTTCAGAGTGCTACATGCATCCGGTCCAACTGGCACAAGATCAGTGATAAAAGGGTCATCACTACACGCCTCCCATACCACGCGATATTCAGAGACATGTTCCGCCTGCCAGCTCGTCCATTCGGAAGCCCATTCCGAGAATTCCTCGGCTGACGATCCAGTAATGACAGGTAGTTTGCAAGGGTCTTGGGTGTTGTAGAGACTTCCGAGGGCAAAAGATACGCCTAGTTCGGACATGTCCATTGGAGGTCCAGGGGGGCCCGTCATTGACAAGGAGTCAATAAGAGCCCAACATGATGGGGTCGTGAGAGATGGGCGTGAAATAGTGAGAATTGGTGCTTCTGTTGGGGTTGGGGTTTGAGCAGTGGCATAAGCGCTGAAAGCAGTGAGAAGGGTGATGATAGAGGTATACATGTTTAGTTGAATTTGTTACTGTTGCGGTTAAGAAGAAAATGACATGTTTCTTCTTAAATGGCTGCTGCAGCACCTCTTTATCTTTATATAAATAATCGAAAAAGGCCTCCAGAACAGGGGAGTCAATTTAGTGTTTGTGATTTTATGTATTTTAGCCTTGGCAAACAGGCGGAGTCTTATCTGACAGGGTGCATACATTAGTTATTAGATTACAGCCTAAACCTTGGAAGGCAGCTGATTCAATTTATGCTTATTCTAAGCCACAATCTTGCGATAAACCCTCGTAAATAATAAGTAAGCAAGGCTTCCAATCCAATGGTGTGGGGCAATCAGTTCTGGACGCTAGCCATTAACGGTAAAGGCTTCAGGCTCCTCGTTATTAGATCCTTTATCGGAATTCCGTGTCAAGCCATACTAGAAGGAGTGGTAGTTATATAGTTTTTATTTTTAAAGTTAGTTAGGATAGCCCACTCTAATTGTTGGCAGTTGTCTATCTGCGTTTCAATATCCGTTAATATTCCACGAGCACACCAATACTGTAAACACCAAGAGATTACTTTAATTATAGGGGACATAATAGTAGGGAAGAAGAAAACGGTAAGGTGGCAAACCTCAGATGTCATCCATATAGTAGTATACTATGCTAGACTTATGATTCTACAAGTGCCCAACTTATGGTATGTATGAAAACTCTTGCCAGCAGAGCATTGTTTCCGACTATAAACTTGGCTCTATGATAACCCACTTAAGATGAAGGCATTCTCCGTCATACCCTGCGCCCACACCGTCCTTGGAAGGGCAAGGCGGAGCGAGTGCTGGAAGGAGGATGTTGGATAAATCTTCCTCATGGCTAGGCTATCTGAGTAGTGTAGCACTTCATGGACCTGTAGCCCTTACCCCAGTTGCTATCAAGTCAAGTTAATACTAATGAGATTTTAAGAATATTAAAGGGAATACTACCTGACGCAAGCGGAGCCTGATCCTGATAGAGCAACTGTCCGAACAGAGCTTCCTTTACAGTTATCCTGCTCAAACATGTAGCAGGTGCAAGCAACACCCCTACCACCACAGGTAACAATGTTTGCGCTGTTCGTGTTGCTATAGCTGTATCCGTAACAGCTGTTTGAAGTACCGGGCCAAATCGACACAGCGTAGTCTGAGCAGCCGCCGTCCTTGTAGTACTGAACCTTGAGGTCGACTGCCCGGGCATTGAGTGCTTTCGAGTCGCTGTTGCCAGTTGGTGTAGCCTGTACAGCAGTGAAAGCAAGGAGCGCAGTGTAAAGGCCCTTCATCGTGGAAGTTCTAGTTTTGTTGCTATTTGTATAAAGAACGGCAAGTTGATTTGTGCTAATGGGGTCTTGGTAAAACAGAGGCAACCCTTCGCTTTTGCCATAGAGCTTCCAGCTAGCATTTATAGTTTATTAAAACCCTTAGTTTATTTTCCATTCTCGTATAGCTGAAATATATCTTATATTTAAAATACAAGGCTAGATTGTTTGGTATTAGTCCAAACAGGCATGCACTTGAACTGGATGTTGCTAACCTTCATAACGCGTATTACTAACCTTAGTAATACATCAGGTCATGATTATTTACTCTTATACAACAGTTTCTTCACAGTATTGGCTGCAAAAGTGGAGAAAGAACCGTTCGAGATCCCTGATATATGCTTACTCATTGTGCTGTGAACTTATTACTCCACCTTTGCGGCCGACCTTGAGCAGAGAACAGGAAGGTAGATATCTTAAATTAGGATTTTATTCACCGAAAGTTTATCCAAGACGCAGAAGGAATTCAACCTTGACGAAGATGTCTACGCTGGCATGATCGTATTATGCGCGGCGGCCGAACCAAGCATTGCGAGCCTTATCAGGGTAGTAAAAATCGGAACCAGTATAGAGGAGCAGATATTGTGCACAGACTATCACCTCGGAACTCAGCTTCCCTTAACGGTTTCTGGTCTTTTTACTAAGTATTACCGAAGAGTGCAAGGATGCCTTTGCGTCGGCTATGACCTTCCACTGTCCTTTACTCAGATCGCGTCTAGTTGTGTTATGGATTATAACCCCAGACTTTTATGTACTATAATAGAGGTATATCATTTCTAGAATTCAAGAGCGGCATTGCGCGATCCGCAAAACTCGTTTTATATTAAATCAGGGCAGAACAATACCGCGAATCGTGTAGTTAAACAAAAAATGCCAACTCCAACGGCCCGCAATTATCTGCATTCCGCTCCGACATGTTGGTAACATGTCAACGGCGCTGCAACTCGATTCTTACCCATGCCCATGCCCAACTACGAAGAGCCCGAGTTGTCAGCACACGACCAGGCTGCTGAACCCCCGGACACTCTGTATGAGGCTATAATGTCAACAACGGAAGCATATGTCCCAGCAATGGTCAGGAAAGTCCCCAAGACGATGATGGTGACGCTCCAGAGCACTCCGAAGGACCAAGAGATAGAGCGATCCTGCTTCCCAAGCTTCCAGTTATCGTAGAGCCACATACATCCCATTGGCTGGAATGAGAGTGACGTTGCAAGCAGTGCCCCGATAAGCGAAACCAGCCCACCAAAGATTGGGATTCCGCTGGCTATCACATATGCGACGACGGTGATGCCAAAAGTACATCCTATCCAAGATGCCCAATGGGTGAAGGTATTGGCCGCGAGATGCTTGGAGCCTCGTAAAACACGAACGAAGACATGTTTACTCGCCAGCTAGAACATCTACATTTTAGCAACATCTCACAGACCAGTTAGGTAAGTGCTCACATGGCAAGTCAACATAGTAGTGACTATTAGTCCAGGAAGTGCAATTCCATAGCTGACTCTCTTGATCAAGACACCTGCAGATCCAAGCGCTGGTGAAGCAACATACGAGCCACAGAAATAGTACACTACACAACCGATCGCGATATAGCAGGCACTAATGACCGTCTGGCACAGGATCAGAGATCTCGTGTAGTGTCTAGGGTCCCTCATTTCTGCGGCAATGCTGAAAAAGGCTGGGGTACCTGCATAGGCGAAGATCAATGCACAGATAGCAGACATGGCGTTGGTGAAGCTTGGCTTCTTGAAGAGCTCGTAATCCGATACCCAAACTGCGTCTTTGGGTGCAGCTGCAGGTCGATCTTGTATACCCACGGCAATTGTTAGGATGATGACTGTGTTTGGGACTTTAGCATGGTATTCTTAAGACAGAGGTGCGGTCATGTGCTAACCTGAAGAGATTACACAAATCAAACCCAGCCAAGCGAGCCAACTTAGCTTCCCGAGGGTTCGGATGCTGGCGAAGATGAAACCAGTGACAGCTGCAACGGCGACAAAGACGGCCGTACAAGTTCCGTGATTAGAAACGGCATTAAAGCCAATCGACACGCTTAGCATCGCTGACCCGCAGACAAACGTCCAGTCTATATCCCCATGCGTCAGCCGAAGTTCAATCACTGCAGTGTTCAAAAACGAGCGGCTTTCGACGTACAAAGACCAAAAGCAAAACCAAAGATTTCCTGCCCAGCACGACCAAACATCAAGCCACCTGCATCATCAATACCATAGACTTCACGATGGCGGAGCTTGAAAGTGCCGACTATATAATCTGACCATGTCGTGATTGCAGCGATAACGCAAAGACAGATGAGGCCGGGTATCATTCCCAGCGTGTCGAAGACAGATGGGATGGACAAGATTCCAAGGCCAAGCTGCGTTTTCATCATCAGACCTGCGGTGCCCACCCAACCGACCTACACATATAATTAATAAAACGGAGGTTGAGTTGGAAGTGTAAACTCACATTGCGGTAATTTGGCCCGTCATTTGTGAGTCTTCCGAAAACAGCATCATGAGCATGACCAGGGTCATCATGGACTTCACCCGCAAACACTTGACCCTCCTGGTCATCAATCTTTTCGGTACCAAGCATAGTGACGATTGATCAGATAATCGAGCTCGTGTTCACCTTCCAGATAGTAAGGAATAAAAGGAAAGTAACCCCGAGATGTGCATTTTGTCACGATGTGAAATTTTCTCCATTTCAACAACGATCCCTCCGATTCCAACTGCCAAGGCTACGGAAGCGGAGCAGGTTTACGATATAAGTCACATATTTGTGCTTCATTGGGGTTTTGTAGAGTAATCTCTTCTCGTAGCCCCAGAGTGAATTCCACTTGGTGAGGAAATTCTGCCGATATCGGATGTTGGAGAATGGTGGGCGGGTGTTTGATTGGTTGGGGTAGTGGGTTATCAATTTGATCTAAGCTCAATTGGAGATCTTTTTCACTTAGCGCAAGGGGCAGAATTTGTTGACTTTGTCATGCATTTTAATCGATTGACACTGTAGATGCTGCGAAAAGGTCATATATATAAACTCTTGCGAGGAGTATTTTTGTGTTCCGCCTGTTCCAGGTTGACAGATATTTGTCAATCGAATTAACCAGCTTCAGTACTATTGTCCCCGAGCACAGACAAGTAGACCGAGTCAAAGCTCTATTAAGAACGCAATGCCGAAAACATAGATAAGGTGAATGATGAAATATAAATAATCTCAAGCCCAAAGCAACCTAAAATATACAGTCTCTTATCATTGTTTCGCTTGGCTCAAGGAGCAGAGCTGTTCTTAATTGCTCTTCATTATCTCGATTATCTCCATGTGATCTGCCCCTAAGCCCAGAAAGGAGAGGTCTTGATGTTTTGGTCCACTGGCCTATCAGCAGTCATTCTGTGGGTCTACCAGAGGCTGAAATTCGCGGACCTCGGTTATGGACTACAAGGTTTTACGAGAATTCAACACATTTCTTGCAGATGCTGGTGTTTAATAAAGACGAAATAGAGATACTACATCGCGGTTCTAGCAATACATATATATTTCGCTCGACGCTTCGAAGAATAAGCCTTGCCTACAGTCTCAGAGGCCTTTTCCTCCTGTCCCGCATTACACATAAGTCGTCTAGGCTGCCTAGTTCTCTGCTATTGTTCCCTTCGCGATTTCATTGAGATATGGTAGAGGGATGTTCCAGGGACGATGAATAGAGAACCTATTATAACATATAAAGTTTTATAAATATTACATCTTCTGCTTTTATTATATTAGATGTAGATATTAATTGCAGAAGCAGGTCGCAAGCAAGTTCAGGGTAGGAATACGCTTGTCTACAGAGTCGGCCCGATACGACACACCAATGATAGGGCATTTTTCAATGGAGATGGTGATTGTTGATTGTGCCTACGATATCCTATCCCGTGACATGCAATGGAAGTCGTCTTGATCTAGATCAATTGCCACGTGCTGGTGACGGTCTGCAGCTATATTGATCGGCCGATGAACCGAGCAGAAGGACAGCCAATTGAGATTAACAAACCGTAGCTAAGCTTCAATAGACAGTCCACGACAGGCAACAATGTTTCAACAAACCTGTCATTCGTCATTTTCGGCTCCGGCAGATAGAATCGCGGGGAAATCTGAACCATCCCTCTGGATCTAGACCATCCAACGGACTTCTCTACCACGGACTTCTCGCCGTCAACCTCCCTCATCACGAGTCACGAAACAGCCCAAGCCTAACTCAATCGAAACGTTGTGCAACGGGCGTCGAGATATGCGGGAATTGGCCGAGCGAAAAAACCCCTGTTCTTTTGGAGATGGAGACGCTGAGATTGGCTGAGTCTGTTCGAGAGCATTCTGACCCGCTTTATTAGCATGAGAGATTGGCATAACCTTGTTTCTCGTTGGTCAATCACGCGTGACCCCACCCCCAGAATTGGACTGCGTTGCGGAGAAATTGGGCCTTGAGGAGATTACGTACCAGAAGTGGGAGACTCTTCTCCAAGATTCTGTGGTGCCATTTGGCGGTGAATCGGGCCATGGACTGACTGAAAACTGGGAATAGCCTTGAAGACATGGTCACAGAGAATATTCTATTGCTTGAAGTGAGTAAACATAAAGACTCTGCCGTCTCTTGGTGCCCAGACCTGAGCACCCAAGCCGACGATTGCCATCCTCCCCCCATCTTCCAGCGCAAGCTAACACCATTCAGGCAACTGTCCCGCACTCCCAAGGCTAGGCAAATTTCTTAGCCCGTCTCCCTCCGGAAACCTGGCCGATCACCTCTCCATCTTTTCCCCCCAGCATTTAATAGAAATATTGGGGCGGTTGCCCATTCTCCATCTTTCCCCAGATCACACTTCCCCGCATCTCTCTCTCACATCTTTTCTCTTTTCTTATTCATCGAGAGGATTTTTCGCTTTCGGCTTCGTTGAATCATGTCGGACGAAAAGGTCTCGGCTGCTGCC